CTTTTTTCTCCTTTAGCATAGATATGAGTCCCTCCCATTTTCAAATGTTTGGTTACGATTCTTCGCCTGTTCTCATCTGGCACGATAGTTGCGGAATGGGTCTTCAATCCAAACACTGGTGCGGCTAAAATTTTTCTGGATCAAATGGCAGGAAAAAGAGGGAATGGGGGAGGTGAAAGAGGGAATGAGGGGAGGTCCAGCACAATCTTAAATTGTCCGTGCGCGGTGTATCGTGAGTACATGCTGCGGCGAATTCTAAGTGTGCATCAAATTGTTGACTAGAGAAGCGAAACTCATGTGAGTTCAAGCGACGACAAGACGGGAAATAACGTAGGACAACTCGTCCGTCTGGCGTAGCGTCGTTCACCACGCTTAGCAGAGCGACATACTACTACTTTCTTATGGCGTACGCAGGAATGGAAGATCACCCGGAGCATCACTGAAAAGACCTTATCGGGGAGTCGTTGGTGGCTTCATTAGGCTAACAGTGAGATCTAGCTTCTTTTTAAGCTTTCGCCGCTGTACTTGAGCTTACCCTTAAAGCTGGAATTCCTTAGCCAGATCCTGCTTTGATGCACAGGTAGCCACTGGAAGCTAAGCTTTTTCCTTCTGTGTCTGAAACCACGCGTGGCTATCTAAGAATGTCAGCCTAACAAGCCCGAACGAATGTGGGTGTTGGTGGTGTTGATGCAAAAGAGGCGTGCGTTTACTAATCCGATTCCTACTGAGGTAGTAGTTGATGCTATCAGGTTTCTCTTTATGTTTACACCTGCACAGCCATTTCCTGGACAATAGCTCAACTACAATCTGCTGGCATGTATTCAGGGATGATGGGAAGAGCGTCGTGTACTAGTATTTCTCGATAGTTATTGACAAAGCAATATGGCGTGACCACTACATCTACGGAGAACAGTTGAGTAATGATTGTGATCTGACAAAAACCGGTGCTGACGTAGGCGCGTAGGGGGGGGGGGGATCGCTCGCCAGCGCCTCGTACCCATGAAAAGCATGAGCGCTATAATTGGGTACTCGGACCACAATGCTAGCAGTGTGCTA